GACCTCCACGCGCCCGGGACACCAGCGTCGCGCTCACCCCTCAGAGTCTGGCAGAGAGACTGGGAAAGCCGCCAAGGACGCACGGGGCGTGCCCCCAGGGGCCTGACTCAGGTGTGGGGGGCAGTGGCGCGCGGAGGAGTCGGGGAGCCGGCGGGACTGGAGGTTCGGGGCAGGGAGAGGATGGACGCGGCGCACCCCGGGCCCCGGGGGTGGGGGGCGAGCGCTGGTGTGGCCGCGGCCTCGCCGCTGGGGGTCAGTGACCCCGGGAAAGTCGCTCAAGCCCGTTTCTTGTTCTGCAAAACGGCGACAGTAATGGAACCGACTTCGCAGGCTCTTGCGGTGGGTTTCGTGAGAGTGGATGGAAATGTCGCGTTATAGAGCCCGACCTGTGGCTTGTGATGCCGGGTGGGTAGGGAGGGCCGAAGACGGGGGAGAAGAGCAAGTCCCGGGCTGGCGCGTCTGGTCCCGAGAGGGAAGGATGTGCGCGGGGCGAAATGTAACGAGCTCACCTTTCTGGAGGGCTGCAGGGCTGGCAGTGCCCCCGGGGCCCTTCCAACCCAGCCAGGTAGGGGGTGCGATTGACGTTTTGCATCGAAGGAACCGGAAGCCCAGTGTAGAGCTGTTGGAGGCTCTCGGGCAAGTCCATGTGCTATGTATCTGTCAGAGTGTTCAAATTAAATAAAATGGAATGTGTCTGGGGTCCAGGGCTTTCCCGAAATACCCAAAAATATCTAAGTCGAGGCCACTGCCGTTAAAGAGCTTGCAAGGCTGCCAGAAGTCAACGTCTCATGCGCATTTTGCTGAGCCTCTACTCTGCCCATCCCTAACTTGCCCATTCCTCCTCCACACACACACCACCACCACCATCTTGTTCGTTTGGCCTCGAGGTTTGTTTTTTTCATATGAAAACCGTAGATTGGGGTGGGGCTTGATGGATAGGGTTCTGAGGACTCCCCACCCTGCCTCTGCTTCTTATAGCAAAAGGTTCTCAGTAACATTTCAAGACATTAGAAGACGGGATGAAATTTATGGCAGATACTGCCTATGAGCAGCCATTGCTTTTGATATGTGGTAAGTACAGCGAAGAATGGCACCTGAAGTCACTGCAGTAGCCAGGTCTTAGAAGAGCCGGCGTCAGAATTAATTGTTAGGTTGCAGCATTCAGGGTAGACGTAGGAGAGTAAAGTTAGGGAGACAAAATTGTACTGGTTCAGACGTGAACTTAGCAGGACCTGAATTATGGTATGTAGTGGGAAATGGTGGCATAGGAGGATTCCCAGGGAGCCTCCTAATTCAGCTTATAGAGGAGCTGAGGGTTCATGATAATGGATCCAGGAGCCAGATGGCCTGAATTACAACTTTGATAACTTGCCACTTACTAGCTCTGTGTCCTTAGTCATGCCACTTTACCTCTGTGATCTGTGAGCCTGTTTCTCTGTCTGTAAAACAAGTGTGGTACCTACCTCTTAGGGTTGTGCTCATAAAATTAGTATTTACTTCAGTATGGCATAGAGCACATTCAATGTATAATCATGGGAAAACATAAAACTTAATCCTAAAGATTAGCCTTAAAGACCCTTCACTTGATAATAAAATCTACTACGGCAGTGTTTATGTTCCTTTTCTTGATGCTATCCACCAAAGTTGTATACATCTTAGGCTTCACAAAATTCGGATTTGTGGATTTGGTCCAGTAGGGTCTGTAGTGTTGTGAAGACATAGACCTCAGAATCAGTAGCCTTATTCTCATAACTTACTATCCTTAGCAGGGTGGGCATTTAATTTACAGAACTATCATGGGCCTCAATTTTTGCATAAATTGAGATAATATCTATCAGCCTGAGCTGTTGTGATAATCAAATAAGCTAGTATTTGCTCGACACTCAGCACATACTTGTGAATGAACATTATTGATATTTATCATAACTTACAAGAGAGGGAACGATCAAACAGCTCAAGTCTTAGCCAAAAAAGCAGAAACAGGGTGGGTGAGCTAGCAAAAGCAATGAAATGATACAGGTAAAATTCTTGCTTTTCTGCCAAGTTTTCTTCCTGATTGTTTATGACACATCAAAGAAATAGGCTATTTAGTATAGGAGGAGGTTGATGATTATCTTGTACAATCCCCCCCCCACACACACACATTATACAGAAAAGGAAATTGAGGCCTAGAGAAAATAGTATCATCAGGGTAATCAGATCTCTAGCCTTAAGGTTCTTCTAACTTTGTACCAAGTGCAACCTTTAAGAAAGAAGCATTTCATCATGGTGTCTTTCAAAATCACATCAAAATCAAAAAAGGCATTTTCTCTAGTGGCTTTTGACTTCACAAAACTCCCTCGTTTCACTTTATGGTTTTAAAAGTTAATAAACTGGATGATGTGTGAGTAATGCTATTTACAAGCTTGTTAAATGACCAATACTTTGGAAGATTTCAAGGTAACAGTTAGTTCTAACTTCAGAAATTAGTAATGAGAAATGCAGATGCAAAATCTGAAAATTTATAGCACTTATTCAAGTTGAGTAAGTTACTCAGTTGCTTTACCTGGAGAAGGAAAATAATAAAATCTAATTAAATTACAGGGGGAAGAGTAAAATCTCTGTAATTAATTACTTCACCTCCTTTAGTCCATTTCTGTGACATAGGAAATAGGAGGTGCTATTATCTCCACTTTACTAACACCAAACAAAACAGAAATGGATTCTTTAAAAACAATAGTATTTCACTGATTAAGGAACACCCCCCAATTTATAAGTTATAGTAGTAGGAACATGAAAAGTGAAATTTATTTATGGGCCGTATGTGAAAAAAAATTGCTAAGCAAATAAATGTAAAGGAGATAATACTAGTCCCCAAAACATTCTTTAGACCTCTTTCTCATTCACTTCCTCTTCCTCTGGTTTCATGTTAGATGTCAAGTGTAGTTCAGCTGCTTTCCACGGACTCAGTCAGGGGCTAAGATGAACTTTCTACCCTGAAAGGAAGAGAACTCCCAACTGGTGAGAGGTACTCCAAGCCCCCTTCCTTCCTGGTCTCTGCCCATTTCTCCTTGACTGCTCTTGCTCTGTTTTGATCCTTCACTTAATCTCACCAGCCTGATGGCATCCTAATCAGTTGACTTTCTGGCTCTCCGCTGACAGGAGATGATTCGTTCAAAACAGTTTGGCAGAAAACAAATTGGTTGTAATAAAATATTTTTCAATGTGACAAATGAGTCAAAAATGATTATTTTCAGCTACTGAATTTTTGAATGTTTGGTAATTTTGGAGACCAGCAATTTCCTTTACTGCTTGTTTGGGTTTTTGAGAGGTTTTCTTGGTGCACAAATATGTTTTTCAAGGAATCATACTCTATAGATACACTGTACATTACATTTTTTGGTATTTGGAAGTGGCTTTGATAGTAAGGGATATTTACATTATTTTCGGGTATCTGTCTAAAAGCTATTAAAACGCAAACGTTTGGGGGGGAACTGAAAAATTACGATGAACTGATAGTAATGCTTAGAGACTTTAAAGTTTTAAAAGATGTAAAGAATTTAAGAGTTCCAAAACAATCCATATAGGTAGAGCAGCAAGCGTATTCCCTTTGGGCGTGTTTATCCTCTAATTCAATTTGTTTTCAACCAGATTGCCTGAGGCTTATCTCCAGCAGCCCAGTCCCATGCCTGCCCTCCCGGCCTGGTGGGATGATGTGACTTGCCTCCTGCGCTTTGCTCTGCCAGCACAGGAGCACTTGGCAGCCCACGTTACCGTGTTTCGGGTCTTTTCCTTGTAGGCACGGTCCTGCATAGCCGCCAGACTTGTCTGCCTTCCCGGCTCCCACTAACTCTGAACTTTCCCTTTTTTTCTGTTTTCCTCCCTCCTACTTCCCGCCTTCCTTTCACTCCTTCCTTCCTGTCTTTCTTAAGGTATTCTAGACAGACGGTCTCTGGGTTCAAGGTGATGATAATTGATGATAGCTAAGATTTAAGGGGTACTTATTAAATATACCAAATGTTGGTCTAGATATTTTATGTAGATAACTTATGCACTACTCATAAAAATGTTATAAACTAGGTATTTTCATAATTCCCATTTTATAGACAGATACAGAGAGGTAGAATAACATGTCCAAGATCACATCATGAGTTTTGACTGGAATAATCAGGAAGTAATCATCATTAAGTTCTCACCCAAAACACATGAGTAGAAATTGTCGTTTGTAACTCTAATACCATGGAGACAAACCCAGAAACTTTAAGGCCATCTTGACTTAGGAGGACCCTGTTTTAGGTTCCTTTTATCCCTGGTGGAGCTAAACAGTCATAATGAAGGCTCCTGGCTATAAAAACCACACTTGGAGCCAGAAAGTGTGTTTTGCAGAGAACCGCCCTTTGCTTATCTGAATTTGGAATAGATGGGAACCTCTAGGCAACTAAGTTTGGGGGAGCAGAAATGTAAGGACCTCTTTTTTGAACATTTTAAGATCACCTGTATTCCCAGAAATTCTGATAGTCCTGGCGCCATATTTCATTCTGTGAGATCTTTCAGAGTGAGAACTTGCACCTTGCAGCCCTTATGCAACAGCAGCAGCAGGCCAGTTAGAGCTCTTGAAAGCTGCCCTCCAGCATGGTGTGGCTGAAGATAGTGGTGTGTGCAGTAGAGGAGCCCTCTCATAATGACTGGCTTTGTGTAGCCGTCTGCCTGGGGAGCCAGACTTTTGTATTCTGACTGTGCTGTACTGGAGAACAAGCTGAGGCGTAAATAAAGAGAACACGAAGCTCTTGGTGCTCTGTGCCACACTGGAAATGTCCAAGGGCTACCAACCCCACTTTTTTTTTTTT